AACTGAAAACAATGCTGCTGAACTTGCAGATCTATGTTGGGGTCACTAATGTGAGCAGCAAGTCTGTACTTTTTGCTTCCCTTAACATTTACGGTTTCAGTTCACACTGAGTTCAATACATCAGTTGGTTGAAGTAGGTTCACAATGCGAATGGAAGAAATTGTTATAGTATTATTTCTATTATTATATAGATTATGTATGAATAATGAAATCATTGGGACTCCCAGCAGGCTAAACACTTTTTTTCTGAAGATTTATATCATCTTTTAATAATCCCAGTTTCAGAAGATGTTCAATCGGCACATTCCATCCCATACACACCCAATATAAATAATCTATAACGGTCTGAAAATGTCATGAAATCTTTTTAGCTGAATAAATTGTAAAACATGGCTGATTTTAAAACCCTGTTTGGTGATACAGTGTAGATTACATTCTATACTCCACACCTGACTGTATGTCTAAACTAAAAACAACAGAATAGGTCACTATATTATATCGTTTCTGCTTCTTTTATCTCCTTTTTGGTATACTTTGCAAAGTTTAACCTCTCTTGCGTTCAACCTCTTCTTAAATTAGACCTATTTAACATCCTACCAGAAACTCAGAGGGTTTCCTGTCATAGTCAAAGAGCTGTGAAGAGGGACGGACACATGGTATAGCAGCTATTGCTGTATAACGAACAGCAGAGGGAGCCACAATCAGAAACAAGCAGTTTTTAGGACATTAAACTGTCTGCACTTCAGAATAACTGTAGTTGTTCCATGCTTAAGGGCTAATATCTAATATACGTACTTGTTGTATAATAACAGGAGTGATTGATGTGCAGATTTATCTGATGAAGATTCTGAAGCATGTTTGACTCTATAAGCAAACGCGCCATAAGACACCAAAATGGACTTTTGCAATTTGTAATCAATGTGTGGTTAAGCCCTATGTTCTGAAGTAAAACGTATATCTGATGAAGGAGGAACAGAACAATTCCACATGCACATGATAAAACACAGCATGCACAAAGGTCTGTTAACCCCTTATGTTGTGTTCGGGTCTCCCGTGACCCGTTTCAAGTTAAAATGATATAATAACTACACTCTAGTTTTTTTTATCGGAACAAGGCTTCATGATAACAGCTATATAAACACTACAAAACTGATTTTGACCATTTTAGCCAAGTCTGAAGGGCTCTAAAAAAAAAAGTGTATAATTTGGTGTTCGGGTCTGGGGAGACCCAGCAGAATTGTTGTGGGTCACTCGAGGTCAATTTTGGCCCAATCAAGATTCATCTTTGACTTTAGACACCCCACCCCCTTCATCAACTGTATTTTTCGCATCATACACCTGGTCTCCCATCCCTCTGCCCCCCTTCCCCCACGGGAACTCAACCTTTCACAAAGAATATGTACAATAACACTTGAACCTGAACACACACATGGCATGCACGTGTGCAATATGTGGTGTAATGTGTTTTGGGACCATAGAATACAATTACAACAGGATTGTACGGTTATGAATGCATAATAAGTTAGTTATGAAAACAATATTGGATGATAGTCATTTATTTGTGGTGTTTTGGACTGAAATAAATTATGGGTCAAAATTGACCCGCGAACACCATGAACGGTAACAGCTTTCGAACACAACACAAAAGTTAAAGCAATATTGAATATTTAGTGGATTTTGAGCTTGTGAAATACTGACAATTTTCACCTTATGAAGCCAGTGAGAGTCTTGTAATGAGGGAAAGAGGAAGGAAATAACCCTGTGCAATAATCACAACTAAGATCTGTGATAGGTGTGTAAACACCATATTTCATCGTGTCAAAATCATAGACTGTATGGTCAAAATCCACAAATGTTACAAAAACAATGGTTATGGAAGGGTTTGTCTTCATCTAAAACAAGACAATCCATTTTTTTAATCAAACAATGTTGTACAACATTTTCCATGCTTGAATGTAATGAATCATGTTGTGAGTGATTGAATAACGCAGTTTATTTACAGCAATGCAGATCAGTATACAGGCACTTAGTTACACAGTTAGACAGGCACATAAGGCTAGAAAATGACATTTAATACACAGATTTGCATAATTCATTAACTCAATCTTTGTTCTCTGCCAGGCTTGCTACAGCAATTACAAGACATTACTTTCACAATAGCTGAACATCATTAATCACCAGAAAATACTGTTTAGTGGACCAGAATCGTTTTTATGTCTTCTCGAGATTACACTTCACCATTCCTGATGCGGATTTCACGCGCCATCCTGCACACCTCACAGGTTCCGCAGAAAAAGGTCATCAAGGCATCGTTGATTATTGTTCCCTGTGGTGAGAAGATTGCAACAAAATCACAACACGGAACCAAAACCCACTGTGAGGAAATGCATCACAGTTCAGTTTTCTCAATTGACGGAAACACCTAACATTTCCTAAGTTAATGCAATCTCTGTCTTTCATCAGAGCTATTGCAATGCAGTCTCCTTACAGCAACACCCAAAATACAAGGGTGTTATTTGAGTTTATAATTCAATAATATAAGTAACTGACCTGTATGCCATAAGTGAGTCTCATGTGAGTCCTCATGGCTGTTGGGCCTCCTGGCAGACAACCCAAACAGCAGTTTTCTCCATACTTATGAGCAGTGTAGCAGCTCAAGGCAATTGGACAGCAGCAACCAATAGCACCTGCACAAAGATGGGTATTTCAGTGTGAGTTTTTAAAAAGAAAAAACATTAAAGTGTGCCTTTAGTGTATAGAGAAAAATGTATAATGTCAGATTTCTTAAGTGGTACTCACAGACTAACAAGTCGCTGAAGCAGGAGCAGAGGCCGGTGCTCCACTCCCCCGTTTGGACGTTCGTCCCGTAGCTGCCTGCAGCCGGTTGGTTGACCACTGGGCTTGACATGTTGGATTACTGGATCTGCTTGTTGTTTCCAATAAAGCTATCTAAAAGTTACGTGAAACAGTTAGCACTGGATAGCATAATAGTTTGTGTTGCAGGATGAAAAGCTTTGGGAGAATGTACCTTAATAACACTTTCCATGCAAATCTACAACTGTTTCTATACTTTTTTTACATATACTGCAATGCCATGTCTTTTCAGTAAAGGAAATCTCATGTTGAAAGGAATAATTCAGAGGTATGACTAAATATATTCTTAAACTCTTCGTTGGAGCACAACTGAAAAAAGAGTTCATGCATTATTCACACTCAATAGCTTAATCAGAATTCATGATTTCCCTGCAAAGCATATTATGTATCAACAAACATTTAATAGAGTTATTTCCTAACACAGAATTAGACTTAATATTGTTGGCTTTTTGCCATTTTCACACTTATTCATTGAAAGATGATGGCTTTAAGTCAGAAATACACATATTCTCATAACAGTAACTCTAACGTACAAACAGATGTGAAAATGAATGTGTTACTTTAAGAACAGTTCATAAGTTATCTTGTTTCAGTGCCGTCAGCATGAGTTTATCATGATTGCACGAAAGTAAAACATTTAAAAGATATTCAAATACGTTTTATTAAAAAATGAATCTTAAGTTAATTAATAGTGAATTCTTAAGTTAATCTCCTGCGAGAGGAGAAAAGCTGTCACTTACCAGAAGATTCGGTCGGTGTGCTCTCAGTCTGATCAGGCTGAAAAGCTGCACACCGCACACAGGAAGCAGTGACGAGCTCGAGCTGTGAAATGCTGGTTTGACAAATCAAACGGCTGTTTCTGAGGATGACAAAGATCTGCAGACAAACTAAGACTATTAAAGAGAACTGCTGCTTTGCTTTGAGGCTGATAGTCTGTATATTCACAGATATCTACAGATCACTGTAACAGGTATCTTTTAGGGAGTGAAGGCTTCTAATGAAATACTTTCCCAATCTCACATTAGATCAACTCAGTTTAGAGAATTCATGCAGTTATCAGAATTTCACGCCATCATATAACAACCACAAATGCATCACGTCTGTGTTGTCATACAACTTGAGGTTTAATCTACGCACTGTGTCACTACTGCAGTTTGTAAAAGAAAGGAATGAGTTTCACAGGATGTGAACCAGTACAAAACTATGTTAAGCTAAAAAAAAACGTGCTTTAAGATTGACTAAAACCCTATGAGGGAACCAATCAAAAATGTTAATATCGAGGTCCCTGTTATATGCACACAGTGCTGCTCTTGTTAGTATTCCAAGACGTAGATGTAACATAATTTGATTTAAAGGGACAATGGAAAATACATACAGAGCAGTCATCAGGTAGTGATGCTATCTCTGAAATAAAAAATGTTTTCCACCACATTGGAAGTGAAATTGAATGTCTATGTGATTAATTACTCGGACCATAGTTTAAGGCCATGTTGTACTTGATCACATAACAGGATACGTTTGGTATTTGGACGAAACAAGAGACACATCAATAACTCTTGTACTCAACAAAAACATTCTCAAATGACTTATTTAGTGTGACATTTATGGAGTGGATAAACTATTTTTGTAGAGTTATATTATTTCTAGATATTTCATCTGCTAACACTTGACCTCAATCAGTGTTTACAAAGGGCAAATCACAAGTTACTAAAGGGCATATTGTTATAAAGACAAACAGTACTTAACGGTGAGAAGTATTAATATTGACATTGTTTTTATTTAAAATTCTGCAATGACTTCTTGGAGACATATCTAAGGGATTTATTTGATGAATGATGAAACACAGGTAGTTTAGCTTTGAAGTTCTGACATCAAGGCGAGACATGCAAAGGGGTAAGGGGTTGCCCCACAGAGAGCAGCACAACTTTCAGAGATTTGGTGTTTGGTTGCCAGCTATATTAGAACAAATAACTGTACAATTTAATATTATGGGTTATTTGGTGGTTATTTTACTTCCCTTAATTTATTTCAGAAGTGTGGACTCATTTTTTGTGTGCAGCTGAATATATTTAATCTAAACCACATCTAATTGATAGTCATATTTGAGTATAAACACATTTTTTAAATACACATTTCTGGGACATTTTATTTCCATTTTATTCTGACATCAACATGAAAGCAATTAAAGGAATATGACAGTGATACATGAAAAAGGACTTCCAATCCAAATGCTTTACATCAGATGGTGTTAATGTAACTTTGTTGGTTAACAAGCATTTAGAATCATTTGTATTATACAGAATATTTTTGTTTATGGGGTCTAAACAGATGCAGTCTTGGCTGCCTTGGGGTCTGCGGGGGCTAGACTCTGCATCATCAGCCTCTGCTCTGCTTTCTGCTTCTGCACTTCCTGGAAGACCTGTGAAGAGACATGACAAAGTGTCAGTGGAAACACGAAATAACACCTTCAACGTATGAGTCAGTTTGACACGGAAAGCTTGGGCGATGCTCTCAGAGACAAGATGCACAATTATTACACAAGTGTGGAATATAAGTCTAGTTTAGGGTCTTTAGATATTTACTCCAATAGAAACCATAATTATACACTTACAAATACACATTTTCTTTGACCATGAACAGAAAATATAGACAATAACAGAATAATGAGGATTTGTTTGATACCTTAATGCAGAGGGCCTTCTTAGCCAGCCAGCGCTGAGTGACCCTCCTGTAGTACTCGGGGGGGAAACTGTATGTGATGCCCAGCTGCTCGCACACCTTCTCAAAAGCATCGTAGTTAACCAACCTCAGGTTTTTTAATAGCTTTTTCCTCCGATCAATAGCCATGAGCATCCGCCTCTTGTTAGATTTGTCCTTGAATTAAATAACACATAGAACATTGGGCTTGGTGATTCGAAGAAGCTAGAATTTCAGGTAATACTTAATTCCAGATGAAACAGAGATACCGTTCAACAAAAACTCTATTTAATCTTTGTGTACATTTAACCAATGTTTTATGTATGATAAATGGAAATTTCCAACCATGGCTGTACTAGGCATGTTCTCATTTGGTGTGGGGGAGTACACAGGATATCCTGTTGCACACACACATCTCACACCAAAGGAAATGTGGAGACATATTAACAGAAGCTTTTGTGGTGAAACCAACGTAAGATATCGTACGTCATCTAAGAACAAGCCTTTCCTGTTTAGCGTGCGAGCTAGGGAGGAAAACATGATGTTAAATGATGCTAATGTTACTCACCTTGTTATGTTTTTGCAAATGCTCCTGGAAGTTTCGGATTTTGGCAGTCAAAATAGCCACTGAGGGAAAAGACATAGAAAGGGAGACTGAATCAATATACAGTTAAAAGCTCTACATCCTTCGCCTGTTTTTCAGCGAACACACTATGAACAACATTGGAGAAACTCACCCCGGACTTCCACTGAGGTGAAGTCATTCTCATCCCTCTGGACTTTAGCAATCATCTGTTCCCTTTTCAGCTGGAGCTTGTCAGTCTAAAAGACATGAACACATAATATCAAAGTAATTGATATTGTTGATATCATCGGAAAAACAAGAAAGCAGAGTAAAACATGATGATGCAATATTGGGGGCCATTAGAACTTACATGGCTCGCCAGCTCCAATGACAGAATTCTTTTGACAATATCATCAGTCCTGTTAATGGAAAAAAAACACTTTTATTAGAATGAATACAATAATGTAGATTTTTTGTGAATTTTGAATATACATTTGATTATTTTTTACTGATTTCATTTAAGGTACTGCATAAATGTGTGTTTACGTTTGCGAGAGGGGCACGGCTGCATAGCCACTCTTCAGCATTGTTGGAGGAAGATCACTGAGCTGGCTCTCAGGGCCTAAAAGAAAACAAAATGTTAGAATGAAAAGAGAGCGACCATTTTAAAATGGCAAATCATGGTGTGTTGAAAACGCAGCTTCATACCCGTCTCCTTTTTCTTTACAACACGAGCATAATGTCTCACTGGTGGCGGAATAGCAAAGCAACCTGCGAGAAGAGAGAGAAAAAGAATTACAATGTGTAGTAAAAACACCAAACGTAAAACAACTCAAAGGAAATGTGAGATAAGAGGCTCAACAGATGGTGCCTGAAGAAGTGGATCAATAACAAAACTTGAAATGTGATATTGTATTGCAAGACAAATGAAAACATTTGTTAGATACTCAACAAACTGGCTCAGCAAAGGATCATGGTGGCCATTAATATGAATGAACTGTGATCAAACTTCACATAATGATAAAGTTCTTATAATACTGAATCATCACATCTGTGTCAGTTTCAACAACCACGCATGTCTTGACCTTCACAATTGGTTTGTATGTCTAGACATCTAAAAACAAATATCTTGCCCACACAAAACACATAACACAAAAGATGTTCCACCTCCGAAATACCGAAAGAAACCGAGGCCATAATCTATTTTAATAATAATATTTATTTATTTAAGCGGTAGGACCCGAGTGATTCTCTTATCAAAACTGTCTGCTACATTAGTATTTTATTTTTCAGCATGCCATTTATCATTAATACGATGCTTTCTCCGTTGGTTCATGTGAAACATTTGTATTCTGTTGCGTGAGAGTGAGTGAAGCCACAGGAAGATGATGCCACTGATAAATAAGTTGAAAGCGCACGATTTGAAGAGCACAACCGCGATAATCGGTTGCACACTCCAGATAAATCACACATATCAGATGGTGAGCGGAAGGTGGTTTCAATATCAATATCATCACTAATGATGTCATTTCCTCAAAACACTGGTGATCATCACTGCAGAAATACAGGCACAATTAACACCAACTATCCTGTTCTCAGTGCTCTACTGACAATATTTACTGGCAGTTTGAATTATTTAAATTGGGACAAAAACGAATTTGCAAGGCCAGCTACTTTTTAAATCTTATATTATAAATTGTGTTACATTTGTGTCAGTCATTAGTGTACATTTTTATATATATCCTTTATTTAACCAGGTAAAATATATTTTTCAAGAGTGACCTGGCCAAGATATATTTATTGTTTTACTCTCCACAAACAAGCAACTGTAAACCAAATGTGTATTAATTGTATATTGTGTGTGTGTGTGTGTGTGTGTGTGTGTGTGTGTGTGTGTGTGTGTGTGTGTGTGTGTGTGTGTGTGTGTGTATTAGGGCTGTGCAATTAATCGTATTTTAATCTCGATTACGATTTTGGCTTGCAACGACTACGAAAACAACGTAATCGAAATAAAACGATTATTATTATTATTCTTTTTTAAAAAGAAAGTAATTGTTTTTTAGTTTTTTTTTGTGTCGAATTACACTTAAAGTTCAGGGTAATCAACAGTTAAAAACATACTGTTCAAATGTTTTTTTCAATAAATTGACGTTTTCTAAGTAAATGGATAATCGTTTTTAATAATGGTGATATCAATTATTGACCAAAATAATCGTGATTATGATTTTTGCCATAATCGCACAGCCCTAGTATGTATGTATATATGTATGTATGTATGTATGTATGTATGTATGTGTGTGTGTGTTCATGTATCGACATATGATTCATGATTTCCCTGTTTTGGAGAAATGTTCTGTAAGAAGATACCAACTTGTTCTCAGGTGGGCCTGTTTGTGGAGGCTTGGTGCGTATAATGCCGCGTTTCCACTACACGGCCTCGCTCGGCCCCGCTCGGTATGGCTGGGCCTCGTTAGGACTGGCTCACTTTATGGCGCATTTCCATTACAGTTTAGGAACTGGGGCAGTATCTATAGTAACGCAGTGTAGGCGGAGCCGTGACGTGATCTTCAGAGGACCCCAGAAAAACAACACAGCCGTTAGCTGTTAGCACTCAGAGCTCACAGCTCCTCATATATGTTCAGAAACTAGACAAAAGTTAAACAAGTACAAACCACAGACTGCCTGTGTCATGGTGAATACAGTCACTGCTTTATTTATGTCTGTATAGGCCGTTGTTGTGAGTGTGGACGGTCGGGGCATATACTGCGTTAGCTTAGCCAATCTCCATTTAGAAAACAAGCATTTTAAAAGGTTTTTCCCCTGCCGTCTGTCTGCAGACTTGACAAAGCATTAATTCATGGTTTTTACTAACCGGTATCAGTATGTTGTTACTTCGGCATCATTTTGAAACGTGTATTACAATTAAATCACGGTCAAATATGTCCATCTTGTTGTAGTTGTTGCCCCCTTGCCAGCGACGCTCTCTCTAGTTTAGCATACTCAGCCCGACTCAGCCTCGTTGTCTCTGGCCCCACGATTTTATGAGGCCAGAAAAACTGTGAATTAGGACCCGCCGGCCGGTACTAGGCCAAGTGGAAACGCAACCAAAGACGGGCCGCTGACGTCACAGCCCTCTTAAACCGTGCTCCGCGCTGTAGTGGAAACGCGCCATTAGGCCCATGGGCGTAATTTCCACTGGGGACAGGGGGGACATGTCCCCCCCACTTTTCAAAATCCCATTTGTGTCCCCCCCACTTTTTAAATGTGTTTATTATTTTTTTACGCAAGCGGTCATCGTCACGGAGGAGCGTCTGTGTGTGTGTGTGTGTGTGTGTGTGTGTGTGTGTGGCACGAGCGCATCTTGTGAGAGAGAGATAGAAAGAGAGAGACAGAGAGTTACGGGGGTTGTTGTTAGCATTTGGTGCTAGCTCGGAGCTAACGGAGATTAGTAGCTGTTTCAACAATAAGGAGAGGGAGAGCTCTTTCCTGTCGGACTTTGAGAGACAGAGAGAGAGAGAGAGAGAGACAGACAGAGACAGAGACAGAGACAGAGAGAGAAAGAGAGAGAGAGAGACAGTTACGTGGGTTGTTGTTAGCATCTGGTGCTAGCTCGGAGCTAACGGAGATTAGAAGCTGTTTCAACAATAAGGAGAGGGAGAGCTCTTTCCTGTCGGACAGAGAGAGAGAGAGACAGAGGGTGTTTCTCAATCGCGAGTAAAGCTGCTTCAGAGCCACTATTTCAAGCATACTACGTCATCGAGTGCCGCCGAAGTACTGTTCCAATCTCCAGTATACTTGGAAATCTACCGAGCCCGGCGTACTCCGTTTGGAGAAATATCGAGTGTGCACATGAGTAGACTTCGCGGTCTTAAAATCCCCACAATGCTTTGCGCACGGACCAATTTCCCCAAATCTGTGGCGGAAGATGTAAGGCGGGGCCTCTCATATGACGCACACCTGCACACTTGCTAGCGTGTTCCACACTTCGTTTTCCGAATGCCAGGAAGTATTCTTGACTCGCTTCTGAAGCAAGATGCTCGGCAGACATGTGCTACCAAGCAAGCGTACTCGCGATTGAGAAACACCCAGAGACAGTTACGTGGGTTGTTGTTAGCATCTGGTGCTAGCTCGGAGCTAACGGAGATTAGTAGCTGTTTCAACAATAAGGAGAGGGAGAGCTCTTTCCTGTCGGACTTTGAGAGACAGAGAGAGAGAGAGAGAGACAGAGAGAGAGAGACAGACAGAGACAGTTACGTGGGTTGTTGTTAGCATCTGGTGCTAGCTTGGAGCTAACAGAGATTAGAAGCTGTGAAGGAGAGGGAGAGCTCTCTCCTGTCGGACTGAGAGAGATAACGTCAGCTCAGGGAGGTAAAGGACTCTGAGGGATTAGATTGTAAACTTTAGTCTAAGTTATCTCAGTGGGTCTCAAACGGTTTGGTCATCTATGTAAACAAATATTTCCATCTATGTAATATTAGTTGTATATAAAATAAGTTAAGAAATCCTTCCAATGTGTGCTATAGGTCAGTAAAAAAATAAAAAACACAGTTTGAAAGGGGAGTGATTAGTCAAATATGCATAAATAAAAAGAAAGAATGCAGACTAGGTCAAATAAAGATAGGAGAGAGGAGTTTATCAAATATGTGTTTTATTGCTTGTGAGCATATTCTAATGTTTTTTTTATTATTGAAATATATACAGTTCTGTTTCATTTGAGTGTTGAGAGCTGTATCCATACATATCTTCATTTTGCCCTCAAAGTGCACCAGATTGATGCATTCAACTTCAATTTAAAGATGCATGCCCCCGGACCCCCCTAGAGGATGTGAGGTCATCACAAATAAAACAGGTTCACATGGATAGGATACTAGATAAGTGTGCACACTCATTATATACACTACACATTTTTCTTGGATTTGTTAACACTATAGTCCCCAATATATTTGTAGAAAGGCAGGAAATGGAATTAAATTGAGAAAATGTTTCATTGCGGAGGACCCCCTGTTTTGTGTCCCCCCCACTTCTCAAACCAAAGTTACACCCTTGATAAGGCCTACAACCTGTACTGAAAGTAGGAAGCAACAGTGTGAGAAAACACAGTTGCCATATTGTAGCAGACTAGAGAAGGAAAGGACAGTGTAGCTGCTCTAGAAGCTCTTTGTAAGGCCTCGATAAACCAGATAATACATCAGATCGAGCAGATTAATACACACTTAGTGATGAAGCAACACACCTGCACACACTTCTGCAGGAGTGGGTCCATATGTAGTTAATAATGTAAGAATATTTAGCAACTTAAACAGCCAGGTTTAATATAAATGCATTAGCCAGCTTCTTCTTGTTATGTGTAAATCATTGTTTATCATTGTCTCATCATAGTTCCTGTCGCCTACAGTGAACTGTATGTCTTCTCCCCTCTCCTTTCCATCATACAATACCTGCGTAAAGTGTACATGGTTTTTGTTTTATAGGGTGCACATGTTTTATAATAATTGAGGGGTATAAACTAATACATAAATACAACTCACCGCCTGTGAGTCTCGGTGCTGCTGTCAGAGCAGAGCAACCGCTCCCTCGGAAAACACCGACTGAAGACTTCAGGACGGTTCGCAGAGCAATGTTAGCTAACATGGTTGTCAGGATAGGTCACAAAGCGGGTTTTAAACTGACAAAAAAAGGATTTAAACGTGGCAGGAGGTCACACTCGACCCGTATATGAGGCTCGCCATTTTGTCTAGACCAAACAAGCTGAGTGAGGATGAGGGCCTCATCATGAGGCACGTTTTTGCAAGGCTGCGCAAGTAATCACAGAGCACATCGATAGGAAAAATGAAAAAGGAGTGATGTCGGTTTTTGTCTTGAAAAATAAAAGTTAAACGAGCTTGGGAGTCTCAGTCTTTTCCTCTACTGCTTTATTTTATAATAAAAAATAGTTTGCTAATCACTAAATCATTTGTTTTAATTATTGTGTGAAGGTTCTTGTGAGTGGCTTATAAGTTGTTGTGGTGGCTTTTAGGTTGGGTGGAATGTGCTTTAAATACAAAACTACAACTCATAGCAGTATGTAGTGATTGCGAAATTAAGCCTTATGAAGCTTTGAAGCTTTCCAGCAAAATAGTTCATCTCATGAGGCTTCATTTGAACACAAACCCCCCTGTTGGTCAACGTGTGTAAAACAGGCAGATATGACATCTTAACAGTGTGATCTTCCCAATGAGTAAAAGCCTTAGAATAACTCCAAACAACGAACATGAAAGCAATTTTAAGAATATTAAACATCTGAACTTTTTAAAGAACATCCATAAACATTAATCTGTTTGCATTTTGCTAATTATTTATCTGATATATCATTACATTTACCTATAGACTCTTCTTGCACTATTTCTATTTTATTTGTATTTACTTGCACATCTCAAAAAATTCTCTTGCACTATTTTATCTGTTTTAAGTCATATATTCATGTTGCACTGTTGGAGGAGCCTGTGACCTGTTTTTCATTGCCATATCTACACTGTAGCTACTGTGCACATGACAATAAAGCCTTGAATATTTAAATGAGAAAAAAGATCAGTCAAAATCCCGTTTATCAGAACATATACAAAACACAAAATTCTTTACAATATTTACTTCTCATGAAGTGGTACAGAGAAAGTATGGACATCAAAATCATTACATCTTAAAGTGATTTTATCATTAAACCCTGCATGCATTTACAGCTGTGCACTCAGCAGAATCAACTTATCACAATCATCTCATTACACAAACCCAAATCTACATGAACATCTTGCAAAAGCAGCTACTCTTAGAATCAAGTATTTTAGTCAATTTGAGAATCATTCAAGGCCAACGCTCGTAGAAAAGGAAAGTCATCCCACAGAATCCGTGGGTCTGTACCTTTTTCAGGTACGCAATCATGGCACGGTCCAAAGAAACATTGCTCATCAGTGGCCATATTCTGGTAGCACTTTGGAGTGAAGGATTCTTCAGTCTCCAGGAGGGGCTGCGTGGACTCAGAGCGCAGGTACGCATGAGGGTCTTTGGATGTAGGGCTGTCGCAGGGACCAGAGAAGATCACAGTGGCGTAAGGAACAGAGTCGCAGTTGGAACCAGAGTAGCCAGGGAGGAAGGGTGAACCGCAAATGGATTCTCCCAGGTCACTGGTGTCCTCTGCGTTGCTTAACCAGGCGTCATCGTCCTCCTTACTGAGTTTCGCAGGGAACTCCAGGAAGCTCAGGTGGGACAGGTACATCGGGTTGGGTTCCTCATTGTCCCAGTCAAGATGGGAATCCTGCCAAAATGATATTAAATAAGTCACTCAATGTCTTTCAATAATAAAGGAAAATACAGCCTGTATTTAGTCTTGTATATCACTTGGCATTTTCATGAATATATGTTAATTAAAGCAGCAAACATTGCAGTTTTTTTCTCACTTGTAGGCTTGGGAAAAAGCTGTAACCACTACACTTACATATATTTGTGGCAAATATGTTTTCAATCACTTGCTTGTTTGCACATGTACACACCCTGCAGATATGGAGCAGCATTATTATTCATTTAAAGTTGTGTTTGTGGCCCCCTGAGTTGAATATCCAAGTCAAATATTGTCTTTTTTTAGCTTTGTTTTGGTCTCCAGCTGCTGAGTGCAATATTTGTCTAACTGTTCAGTCTGTCTTCCTTTTATAGCTGGGCAGGAAATGTACAGAGGTTTTACTATGGCATTTTTACTGAAAATCGCTGCCTGCATGGTTTTAGACTAGACCAAAATGTGCTGGGGGGTAAAACAACACATATAAAAATGGCTAAACTGTGCTATGAAGCCAAAGGGATTGTTGATGTGTGATACCTTTCACAACGCACATAGTTATTGATCTTTTGTTCGTATAAAATATAGAATATTGCAGCTTTAACCTAAATGAGTTATTGCATGAAACCATGTTATGCAGCACAGGCAGCATTTCAGCACCTGTGTTGATTCTGATGTCCATCTCTTGATGCTGCTATTAGCCGGATCCGGAACAGCTGGCCAAAAACGCAGCTTCAGCCTGCAAAAGAAAGAGAAATGTTTAACAGGATATCACAAGATAAACAGATATCACACCTTCACTGGGTAAGACGGCGTGTATGATCTCACCTTTTTTGGTTGGAGAAACAAGTCATGACTACGATCATAAGCAGAAATGACATCCCAACACCCGACACAGTCGAAAACGTCACAACAGCAACCGCATCTGAGAGGAGAGAAATACACATCCTGAATGTAATGTGAGCTATGGCAATATATACTCAATGTTTCATGAAAGCCACATCCAGACAATAAAACTAACCAAAAGGCTCAATTTTAAAACGAATCGTTGATCCGTTCGAGCTCCCACCAGACGTGCTAACCATCATGAAAGCTTCATACACAGACTCGGTGTTGAGGCCTTTCAGGACCACCCTCCTCTCTCCTGGTTCAGCTCCCACAACTGAAGGAAGAGTCAGACATCACATAGCATCACGTACATAAGAAAATGTTTTGGATCAGTACAAATGAAGGTCTTTTACCTACCGTTAATGGTTCCCTGCTTATCACAGTAGAAGACTTTGTAGCTCTGGATGTTCCCGTTCCTTTGGTCTAACGGTATTTCATCCCAGGTGAGCTCGACATGTGACTGCCAGCTCTTTTTTATTTGTATTTTCGGAACCATGGATGGAGCTTTAAAAAAAATATCAGGGGGATTTATTATTACAACTATAAGGAGCAAAAACTTATTCAACTTTAACCTGTATGTTTTGTACCTTTGTAAATGTGTCAATTTAATGTAATTAATACCTTATGCTTTTGTATTCTTGCTGCAGCTGTATTTATTACTGCTTACATCATTGCTTTTATTCATTTGTTAATATTTTTAACTGCATCAAGGGAAGCCTGTGATTTTTCGTTGAAACTGAGCAGCAATAATTATTCATCACTATCCACAAGAGGGCATTATTTCATCATGTATCAGCTGATTCTGATGGATTGCACAATCTCTTTTTTTCTTTACTTATGTAGCAACTCTTTTCTCACAAAGTTGAGGCAGCTCGTCTCTCTCACAGCTTTGCCTGCTCTTTGTGTGATCCTCTTTGGTCTTTAGTGACTTACCCTTTTGTCTCAAGTAGGCATTAACAGTCTGAGGAAGGCCTATTCCATCCTTAAACCTGGGATATACAGAGATCCCATAGGGCTTGTAGGGCTCAAAGCTGCCTATTGATGAGAGTCAAGAGGTTAGAGTGTATCAGCGCCCATAAGCTCCAACAGAGTGTGCAGGAACATGAAAAAGGAGACTGTATAAGAGCGGATCCTCGGGCTGAAGGATGAAGACAAGATTAGGAAAACCATATAAAAACTGAGTGAAATAAGAAGGACATGGATCTTAAAATCTGCCATACTAATACCAAAAAAACATACCTGTTATTACAAGGCTTGTCTTGTTTCTGTCGGTTATTTCAAATTGGGTGAGAGAGAGGTCTGTTTTTAACAATGGTCTCCATTCCACCACAAAGCCAGTGAGAGTGGAGGAAACCAGGCTTTTCCACTGAACCAGTAGAGATCTGTCATCCTGAGGAATGACTGAGACGCCTGATACCACTGCACGATCTACAGAAAAAAAACACACAAAGGTTTTTTAAACTGTATCTATTTGAGCCATTTCTATGCTAGTTTAAAGGGGCCCTATAATGGTCATTTTCAGGTTGAAATTTGTATTTCTTTGCCTTTACTGTGACATGTTTACATGCTTCAATGTAAAAGGTCTTTATTTTTCTCATACTGCCTGTGCTGCAGCACCTCTTTTCACCCTCTGTCTGAAACCAGAGCTCAGTCTGCTTTGATTGGTTAGCTGGCCGGGTCTGTTGTGATTGGTTAACTTAGTCCCCTTAGCCTATCACTTACAATATGTAGGAGCACTAGCCAATAGAAGTGCATGTGTTATGTAGTGATGTCACTATGTTATAGATTTAAATAAAGAAGTCAAACTGAGGCGCTTCAGGCAGGTGTGCGGGAGAGAACTCCCTCTGGAGCAAACTTTGGGATTTTAGCCTTTGTAGACCATTTACAGAAACCTATATAACACACTACAGGAAAAGAAAACCCCCAAAAGCATAATAGGGCCTCTTCAAGCAGGTTTAAGGTATTTAATATTACCTTTTGGTCGGTAAATCCGAACTTCAGTAGGGCGGGATCTTCCTGCTGCATTTACAGCTCTCAGATACACTTTCTTTGCTCTCTCGGGAAGCTGGAAAGTACAGTAATTCCCCTTTGTAGAGCACACCTTTCCATTCGCACCTGGCAGCTTCTTCCCTGAGACAATGTATGACACATTCTGGCCGTTGGCGCGGAATTGTTTTGATGGCTGAAAGGAAAGGAAGGAAAGTTGAAAGGGCATTTTAGAGGCGAACCTCACACACTCAAACCAGAGCTGTAACAGAAAACACATCAGTCTGTGACAGGTGTCAAGCCGCATGTAAAGTGTGATGTATGTACCTTCCAAAACAACTGTATGTTGAGTTGTTTGTGCAGGTGATCCCCCGATACCTTCGTCCACGAGTCTAGGCGTCCAGTGGGAGCTGAAAAGAAAGAGAGGCACTGTCAGTTTAGCGGCTCGTCAAAAAGCCTGCACTTCTCTTCTCAATCTTTAAAAAACTTTCCCATGTAAGACAGGTTTTATGGATTCACAGACAAGACTGTGCGGCAGAATTCAATACATCAATTCAGCCTGCGCTATAGAGCAAAGCAATGGGAGATGTAGAACAAGGCATTAGCATATATTGAAAAGAGCAGGGAATGGAAGAAAAGGCGACAGATTGGAAATGACTGATTGTGTCACTCTGAATTGATCTGAGCCCTACCCGTCTCCAAGGTGACTCCAGACTGCCGGCGGCTCCACTCGCTCCAGGGGCTCTGCTGGTACCGGACCCTGATCTGGGCCAGATACTGCGTCCCAGGACGGAGACGACACTGGTCCACAGATTTGGTTTGTTTAACCCGGTTTACCAGGAACTAACATAAGTCCAAAAGCACATGGTTACATGACATTATGTATTTAAAGCAGGTTATAATACTGTATGGTTGCTTTTCATAACCAGAATCAGAATCAGAATCAGAAAGGAATTTGCTTTTGTGTATATATAAAACAAAAGTCAGTAAGATTAACTCAACTGTAAACAATAAATGGAACAACTATAAAGAATACTTTAAAAAAGATTGAAATATAAATATAAATATTCTGAATACAAATATAAATAATATAAATATATGGAACTACTATAAGAACTGAACAAAGGAAACATTTACAATAAATATATATTCACAAAAAAGTAAGAACAATAAGAATATGAGAAATGACAGTATATCAGAATTGTAAGTGGGATAAATGTGCAAACATGCAGCAGCTCCGGTTTCAAAAGTGAAGTTTTAGTTCATAATGAAACTGGAAGAGATTGTGCTCACTGGCTGTGCACTCCAGTCGGGGCTGTCAGCAGTCTTAAGTCGGACTTCCAGGTTCAGGCGGAATTCACCCATCCAGGCCTGCTGCTGAGATAAGCTCCAGCTCAGCTGCAGGCAGCCGTACCGTCTTGGCACCGCTTGAATCTTCAGAATCAGTGGGTCAAGCTTAGCTGTCGAAAAATGGACAAAAAAGCAAAAGCTCTGATTTTATTTACTTTCCCCTCATAATACTTTAAGATGTTCTAATCTGTGCAGAACAGTTTCATACTACTTTCAACCACAGTTTGTGCCTCTCATGTATCAGCATCACATGTTTCTTTATATTTAACAATATCTATGGTGCATCTTGGATACAAATATCCAGGGTACCAGGATGAGAAAGATTTCGGAAATGCCTTTTAAAATAGTTAAATGTTCTATAACCTTCTTGAGTAGAATCAAAATACCAAAGCACCAATTGACCACAGCATTCTGATTATGATTTAAAAACAGATTAAGTGACATCCCTTTGGTACATTTACTTGGATTTGGATGTGTAAAATGTGATTGTTCAGGGAAATATCATACTTGTGCTGTAATTTGCTGGAAGTAACTTTTTGCCAGTCACATGAACGTTTCTCACCTGCACTGACTGGCTCTAATATAATGGGTTCTGAGGTGGTTTCTCCGAGTTCATTCACTGCCTTCACGTATATTTTCATATCTGAGAAAAGGCCAAAGCCGGTGCGAGGGATAATGTAACGGTGGACTCCTGCAGGCAGCTTGTAAGTGAAGTTCTCATTTGTGTCCCTGAAATGAGGAAATCATAATGTGAGAAACGGAGTTGTGCAAACGAACAGACACCTCATTCCTGACACCAAAATGATGTTTGCTTTCTGGTAAGTGGGGCAGTGTTTTTCCTGTTAGAATATTACCATATCTCTGTGTGGAGGCTGTACTTTGTGAGCAGGTGGGTCTCCTGCTGCCCAGGGTCCCAGCTGCAGGTCAGGGTGTTGGGGGTGGTGAGGTTCGTCTGACAGCTGGTGTTCTGCGGTGCTTCTGGTGGATCTATAGAGGAAACAAAAAAAGAAAATATTAGGGAGAAGTTATGTCAAGACATCATGTGGGACTAGTGGTGGATCTATGGCAGAACAGAAAGAGTTACACTGATGTTTATTTGTTTATTTTGAAATGTATGTTGATTTAATTAATGTATGAGTCTTAGTGTTTTATTATAAGTACAGTAGTATGGTGCAGACAAAAATAAGCATGCAGCTAAATCAGTTAGAAAGCATATTGGCTTTTTTTATGACATTAATGTCTTTTGTATGTCAAATACATTATGAAAAACTAAAGATATGCACAATTCTTTTTATGACTTAAATCAAAATGAAATAGTTTTTGGGAGAAAGGAAGTTTCAAAGTAGTCTAAATGAAAATGTCCATCTTCTTTTTTAATATCATGCATCAATCATCGGATACAATCTTTGCTGCAAACCTCTTAAAACATGTCTATATCCATTAAAAAGCGTCAGATCTCTTGAATGGATAGTCAAAAATAGCTTGTAAGTTAATTAAAGTGTTCAATGTTGAAACTGTCTATTGTTTTGAGTTAAGATAAGACATTCCCAGGTTGTTTCTAGCTTGGTATAGACATGTAAATAGCAAAAAACATGCACAAGAAGTTGAAATCTCTCTCACATCCAGCTCTGATCTCCACTCCTCCGACCACTTGAACAGTCGAGGCCCGGACGCAGCAGGCGAGGAAACTCCTGGTGTGATTGAAGCTCGGTATAAAAACCTCAGACACGATGCTGCTCTCATTGGCTGAGAGGTTGCCGGGGAATAAGTGTTCTCCGTGTCGCCACTCTATGTGAAAAGTCTGTCCAACGACGAGAGGGCAGGTCTTTCTGATGACACAGGTGGCTCTGACGGGCGACCCCAAAGGCACCACGGAGCTGTCCGTCTGGACCTTTGCACACGGCTCTACGTCATCCTCTAAGAATGGGAAAATTAATTAAGCTGTGGCAAGTTGACAAGAATCTTAATTGTAAATGCCAAGTTTTATATTTAGTTTGGACAGAACGTCCTGAGGCGAAAGGAAGGAAATGTGTAATAACAATTCACTCTGTAAATGCTGGTTAGGTATTTCCATTTAGATTTGCTTTTTCATTCTGAGAGCAACACTCACCATTTCTCGCTCCATTCACAAATGCCACCAGCATGACAATCACCGACAGCCACATGGATATCATGATGATAAGACCTGTTAGGCAGCCAAAATGAAATGCATTACAGTTACTCCTAAATTGCAAACTTTCATGGCTTTTCAAAACAGCATTTGAATTGATTCTCATTTCGGAGTGACATGGTGTATTGTGTTGGAAAGGTAGAGAGAGTGATAACGTCTGTCGGTTCAAAAGACATCATCAACATGCTGCTTCAAATGTTTGGTGGGGCAGGGGGGATGTGAGGAAGGATGTGATCTCCTTAATATAAAATATTTCAATATAAATGGTCAGCCAGAGAACGCATCCCCTGCTTCCCAACACAATAATGAAGAGACCCCCTGAAGTGCTGCCTGTGAAAAGGTCAACAAACTCATACACTGACATGACACACGTCCTTTATGTAAAATGGTTACACAAAGGATGTGACATTCAAGCTGCTGCCAATTTAAATAGAAATTCTATGTAGACCGAATAAATCAAATGCTGTATCTCTCCTTTTATATACTTTTCTATTATAGGGATACAAGTATTACAAGCAGGAATATTTTAATTGCCAGTTGTTAGAAGGTAACCAGCCTGTATGGACATGCACTCTAAAGCTGGTCACGTACAATGATCAGAAGATGAGAGCTTTTACACTAAGCAGTTGGGAGTGATTCTCCAACTTCTGCTATTACAGAGGCCCTATTCTGCTTTTTGGTTTTACCCTCCCAGTGTGTTATTGAGGTTTTAGAGCATGTGAAAGGTCTGCAAAGCCCTGTGTTCCCTCCAGAGGGAGTTTCCCTGCCACACATCCCCCCCCCCTTGCCGGAAACGCCTTCATTGGACTCCTTTGTTTACTTTCGTAACACTATGTTACACTCCCTCTTCTATTGGCTAGCGCTGAAATACATTGTACGTGATAGACTAGAGGCGGTTGACCAATCAAAACAGAGCTGGCCAGCTAACCAATCAGAGCAGACTGGGCTCTCGTTTCAGACAGAGGGTGAAAAGAGGTGCTGCAGCACAGGCAGTATGAGACAAAGAAAGAGCTTTTTGAACATTAAAGCATAAACAACTCACAGGAAAGAATAAAAATACATGAATAATGAACCTGAACATGACCATAATATGTCTTCAAGTCAAAACCTGCTTCTTAAATTCAAGAATTAGTTGGGACCTCAACTTTCCAGATCAGGTGTTATGAATTTTTGAGGAGTGTGTTTTTGAAATACTCACCATTAAACAACCACAAAATGATGAAATGTAATTGAACTCTTATTGCCGGCTCACAAAGCAACACCAACAAGGCGCAGACATGCCTTCACAGCATTTCTGTGTCTGTGTGAGAGGAAAGAAAAAAACGTAAGCTGACAACTTATTATATTTTTAAATACCTTTTTCTACATTTAACACTATTTCACATTGACAAAATAAATATCTAGTAATTTCTAATAGTGTTAAGATATCCCATGTCAAAACAAAGATTTCATGTGTTAGACATACTCTTCACAGACGCACAGACGGTTTATCACGTAAACAGTCGCTCATGTGACTCCCAATTGCGGTTTTTAGACATTTCATAACACATTTCACAATATATTTCACCCATGAAAACATGATTTACTTTTTGTTCGGACAATAAATTGTTTCAGTGATCTATCAACAAGACAACGCTAAATTATTGCTGATTTCTGCTATTTATGTGGTTTATAATATGCCAAAAATATATTTTTTATTTAACAAATGTGGATTTTGGACCTTTGGTAAACAAAACAAGAAACTTAAAGATGTCAATCCTGGTCTTAAGGAATTATTTTGATTATTTCCTGACATTTTTATGGAAAAAACTATAATTAAAAAATAATGATTGCATTACATGACTATAAAAATAAGTTGAAGGTAATTGACAGGATAACAGGAGAAATATGTCACTTCCAACATTTTAAGTATTATTTTTAAACAGAGAATTAACACTGTTTTTAATCATTATAACTCCCTCTTTCATGACAATCGATCAAACTTGTGTTTTATTATTAAGTGGTACTGACGAACTGATGATGTGAGAGTTCAATTTGGATTTCTTTTTTTTTAAAGCGAACAGAACAAATTGAGATGATTTGTTATTAGATTTCCTTTAGTACTGCTTCCAAGTATTTCTGATCTACAACTCTCAACCTTCAGGCAGAAATATTATGTCCAATAGACGAGGAGGGATGACTTTAATCATTTGTATCTATCAGTCAAAATCACAGTACGATCCCTTTCCTCAGCCCACAATATTTATTGAAATCTGCGTTAAAGGGATGTGAGAGAAGTGGAAATTCCCAGTTTCTTAGCAGACAATGGGATCAGTTTTTGCCTACTTTTCTTTTTAGAAACTCTGCTTGGTACTAATAGATAATTACCTGTGTCTCTGACAAAAAGCAATCAGGACAAAGAGAGGGAGAGAAGAGACATGTTATTATGTTTGGAGTGTATTTTGTCAGCAGTAACAATTTGATTGGAGACAGTATGAAATAAACTGGGGTTTTAGGTGAGCTGGCCAATTGTGTTCCTTATTTATCCATGAAAAACATTGTATCTGAATTAACGTTTTGTACCAGCGAGTCATGTCACAATGTGTTGAGGTACATTTTGCAATGGCCACCATATGTTTCCTTTCCCGTTGCTGTCGGGGGTTACAAAACGCCCACTTTCAGGATTTGGCAATATCCTTGAGACAGAGAACATTGACTAACCGGCCACTATTTCCTCTTTTTGCTAGTATTTCTGACACAAAGTAGTATGATATAAGTCAGGGATACAACAAGTGATCAAGAAAGAAAATGTATTGTCAAAAAATGTGAAAAAATCTTAGAAATGTTCCTTCTATCTCAAATGTCACTGCATGTGTCAGCAGTTGTAAAAGTCCAAAAGGCTAGAAAGGAGGAAAGCAATCAGTTTCACATCCTCTTTTTTAATGGACGACCAGATCATTAATGTATTCCAAATCTTTCGACAGCGTTATTTCATAGCCACACTGTTACAGGGAATGGCTGTTTCCATAACAATAAAGCTGAAAACAGCAAAAATAAAAAGTTGTTTATGTTTTAAGCTTTAAATTCCAAGTATCTTTACTTTAAAATGATCGTCTTATCTTAGAGTTCCTCCTTAAATCCTAAATATTGGAAGAGGCTCTATATCTAGTCAGTGTTGTATAGTCACTAAGTAGATTTAATCAAGTACTGTACTTGAGTTTTTTTATTTGTATACTTCTACCCCACTACATTTCAGCGGTACATCGTGTACTTTTACTCCACTACATTTATTTAATACTGTACCTTTAGTTACTTTACATATTTGGATTAATGATGTGAAATATATCAACTCTTAAATCAGACTTTAATTACACCGTAAATTCACAAGCTACCCTGCAGTATACAAAGTCTTTAAAACTAGCTGCACCTTTACCAGCTTTGAGAACACTTTATTGCATCAATCATTATAATTAAAACATATAATATACGTTGTTCTGAAATGGACCAATCCGCATAATGATTACTTTTACTTTTGATACTTTAAGTATATTTTGATATTCATAAATGGCCCACGTTCAATACCCAGCGGCCCAAATAATGTGATAAACAAGTGTTTTCAATGTAAATAAGTTGAGCGGTCCATAAGTTGGATCAGGATGCAACACTCTACCCTGTAACAAAAACAAGTTTTGTGAAGTTTACCTTTTAAATCTGGCACAAGTCTCAAAATGAAAGGAACAGCAAATCACTTGAATTGAAGTTAAAGGAGAGCCATCATGGAGGCTTTCCACTCACCAAACAGCAGCTGCAGCAGACCCAGAAAGACAAGAGGCTCTCATCAGCCTGATAGCAGCAGATGAAACAGTGTGGCTCAGAGCACCTCAGATTGGAAGACGTGTGTGTGTGTGTGTGTGTGTGTGTGTGTGTGCGTGTGTGTGTGTGCGTGTGTGTGTTTGCCAAGCAGCAGCAGCCGCAGCAACAACATCCTTGTTTTGAATTTGTGAAACTTCACTTTTTTCCAGGAAGAAACACATGACTCATGGGGCACAGTTATGGGAAGAAAAGAGGGGTGTTTAAAATCAGGGTTTCCTCGAAAGATGAGGGTCGAATAATCCTACAGAAAATGATCAAATCTGGAGAATATTAGGTGATATTTGACGTTTGAATATTCATGACTCCTGCTAAATGGGGTTATATTTTCAGACTGGTTGTTTGTTTGTCAGCAGAAGAAGTGAAAGAGTGTAGCATGGGCCCTTGAAGTAAGAACCCATTAAATGATGGAGCAGATCAAACTTATGTTGCAATTATTCACATTGCAAGAAGGGTCATTTGGCCGAGCTGGAGGTCTGTGTTCTTCTTTCAGATGTTATTGGAAAGTTGAAACTGCCGGGTTTTCAGTATTCAATGGAAGATTTTTTATTATATTGCCTGTGGGATTGTCGGTGGAGAAATAAAAAGCTGTTATAATAGCTCAATGTGAAGAAATTGAATATCAATCTCTTAAAATGTGAGGTGTTTGGCCTTTGTGTGTATAAGAATAAGGAGGTCGTTCAACTTCAATTGATTGGTATTTTTTCCAAAAGGTTTGAATATGGCTGCTGTCAAAATTCCTACAATATGAGTCAGGCAGCCGTCTTGAAAAATGCGATAGGTCTGGTTCAGTGTGACCCCTCTGCGTTGAGCGTGACCTCTGAAGTATCAAATCTGCTGCCTCAAAAACGCAGTCATGTCTCTCTGCGAGCCGGCCCAAGCCTTTGTCAGCATAGTAATAGAACAAGCTCTTAAATGGGATTGCAAACCGCGCCTTGACCCCCCAAGGGCACTTGGAACTACTTGCCATATCACGTTTATTAGCTTATTAAATTGTAAAATGATTCGCTGAGGCCTCATTTAAAATGGTGCACGAGGCGAGGCAGTGAGCTCACCCACTCAACTTTTAATCTAACGTCTGCATCCCAACTCGGTCACTACGGCGCTCTCAGAAACATAATGGAAGCTAACTGTTAATCAAGAGAGCGCTGGAGGAGGAATTAAATGCACGCAGTGGTAGGTTTGTGAATAGGAATCAACAGGAGAGAAGAAAAGCAGGCACTAATTAAAAATACATTGACTGGTTATCATGCGTTGACATATTTAGCTTGATCTTTTTTTTCTAATCAGCACTAATGAACGCAGCGCTCTCCATCCACTGGGTATTACATGCTACGTTTCAGTGAGCTGTAAAATTAGCTGAGGGCCCTGAAGCCAAGTCGAACTGATGAAGCTTTTCGAGGTTTGATTACGGTTCTTGTACTGTACTTAATGCGATGCTGTCTCCTTTTCAGATTCTTATTCACATTAGAGATGTGACTAACCTCGAATTAGTCACTGCTGGGAATATCCTCTCATATCTAGCTCCTATTATACAGTGCATTATAGTAGTTAACTGCTAACAGAACTGCTGTACTCACGGCTTTTGATAATCATGGATGCTTAGATTCACATCTGAAAAAATATATATTTGAGGCAAAGTTCCTTTGGTTGAAACAATGCCCTCCTACTACTCCACTCAAACCCATAATTGGAAATATATTTTGTTTTAAAGTGTTGTCAAATCAGACCTGTAATCTTACATCTCCGAAAATAATAGATAATTTTCTCAGTTAAATACTCAATACGGAATCCCTGAGAGGGAAGTGAGAAATTCTGGTAATCCATTATACAAGTCTAATTGAAATGACTTTCTCTGTTGTTTTTATGATAAAACAGGCTAAAGTGCCCTTAGATTTTTTGTCCAAGTTTAAGAAATTGTCAGGTTGTTAATTTTTTCCATCTATGAGTACATGTGAAATCTTGACAAATACAAATATTTAACAGTATCATTTTTTTACATGTGGTTGAAATAGGCTTAACGGTACGTCCACACGGCAGCGTGCGTTGAAGCTTGCCGGTGGGCGTGTCTGGAGCGCGACCAACAACCAATCACATTAATCTCCCACCCCGGACACACAAGCACGCGGTTTGATTGGCTAGAGCTTGTACTGGCATATTATTTGATTGGCTGACGCTTCCGTCGAAGCTTGAAAAGTTGAACTTTTCTCAACTTTCGAAGCGAGCAACGGAGGCAAAGCGACGCGACGGAACCACAATGCAGTTCGGCAAAGCCTGAGGTCACCACATTCAAAGTGAATGGGAAGCTGCCGTGCGGACGGGCCGTAAGTGTACCATAAGAAAGCTGCTTAATCCTGCATTTTCTTAAATAGCCAGCAGGGGGCGACGTGACCGGTTGCTAAAAGAAGTCTATGAGAAAATGACCAAGTGGCAACTAAGAAAATCTGTACCAAATGTCAAAGAAATCCATCAAGTAGTACTTTTGATACTCACAAAAAACAAAAAAATGTCGACCTCTTGGTGGCGCTAGAGGAAAAGGCCCAGGATTACTGAGGCGTCTGTATATTTGAGAGTTGTATACGAGTCTGAACCAAAGTACTGTAGATACATTTACACAGCTTTCTGAAATTGTAGTCTACACTGAAGGCTCAGATATATTCTGTGCTAGCTGCCCACATCATCAAGACTCCCAGATGGAGCGACCATATGTCTGAGAAGCGACAGTGTGGAAGGTGCATCTTCCTTTTATCACGGGTATAATCACATATGTATGGATGCTGTACAAAGTGTCCAGCCATATGCACATACATATGTGTATCAATTGTTTTGTGTCAGCATCAATTAAACAGGTGTTCACTCCTTAGCATATACCATTTAGTGGGTTCATATTAGTAGACTCTTTCATATATTCAACATTTGCTTAATGTGTCTACCTGAGTTTGAGGTAAAATCATAGCTAAAAAAAGTCATCTGTTTACTGCTTTTCCCGAGGTCCTATTGATATTGTGTTATAATAATTCTGCACCATTTGCACAATCTGTTTCAAAATTAGATTTTTAAACTTTTTGCATTTCAATTTCTTACAGTATTAATGCTTTTGTAGAGCACCTTGAATTGCCTTGGCTTTACAGTGTGTACAGCATATGACACACTCTGTCCTTAGATCTTTGAGGAAAGGGAAAACTCCCAGAGTAACATTTAAGGGGGGGGGGAAATTGAAGAAACCTTGGAAAGAGCAACAGAGGAAGGATCCCTTTGCCAGGACGGAATAATGTGCAATAAATCTTGTGTATGGATTCAAACACAGAATACAATTACAACATGGACAACCCAAGGCATACCTTACCTTGTCAATGTAAAAGTTAATTCTTTTTTTGGATGTTTTGTAGAAAAACAATTATTTGTTTACAATATGACGGACATGACGCTGATGACGATGAACTAATCTTTTATTTTCAAGAAACATTTACGCTAGAGGGGGTAGGACCAGAAAAGTTGTTTTAAGCTTCTTCTTGCCCCTGTTGAACATGGCAGAGACAAATTGAGAATTTTTTTTTGTACCTTGAACGTTTTTTGTTGTTGTTTGTTGTTTTGCATCTCTTTGTTATAATTCTTATTATAAAAAAATAAAAAACTGTTTCTGACATGTTCAATAAATTGAATAATAAAAAAAATGAATATACCTTACTGTATCTTATATACCTCTGAGTGGATGTACTTGGGCAAGCGAGGAAGTGAGACACTGAAAGAGAGAGAGAGAGAGAGAGAGAGAGAGAGAGAGAGAGAGAGAGAGAGAGAGAGAGAGAGAGATAGAGAGAGAGGGAGAGAGAGAGAGAGAGAGAGAGGGAGAGAGAGAGGGAGAGAGAGAGGGAGAGAGAGAGGGGGTCAGTCAAGCGCCGACTCACGCTCCTGCTCCTTACATGCACCCAATCCACTCCTATCTAGTACCTGTCACACGCTGGCTGCAAAATGGAATTGACTATTGATTTCCCCCTTACCACAGGTCAGTTGTGCTGGCAGGTTATAGTGGGCTCACAGGGAGCCACACGGGGAGAGGAAACACACACATTACACAACTCACACAAACACACAAGCACAAAAAACACGGTCTTATTAACCACCACTTTCTGGGATTGTGGAAAAGAAGACAGCAAAGGTTACTGTAAAAGAAAAGGTGTGTGTTACAACCATAGACTGTATATATAAAGGTTACAACATGTGTAGTGTAACATGCTCAGGGCTTTGATAAAACTCTAGTGGGATGGGTTTTGTGAGTTAAATAAGCATATGTGTAACATTTACAAGTATTCTGTACAAGTAAAGCTAGTTTTTAACAGTGAAACATAGCAATGCGTTTCACGAATAAAGCAAATTAGGAAAGTCTTCTTGCGACCCTTCAACTGAGGTTTGAGAAAAGTTAGAAATATTTACCTAATTGTTTGTGACAAAAATATTTTAATACATTTGTGTCAGATTTATCACAGGGCCCATGGAAAACTTCGATTATTTAATGTATAGGTGTCTCAGAAGTGGGCAGTAGCTTAGTTTACTTCGGATAAACACTAATATTTAACCATTAGTATTTGTCAAAGTACAGAGGGTAACATTGATAAATGGTCGGGGTTGTTTTGAGCTGTTGAGTTTTTGCTTGGTGGTTATCCTGGTAAAATAGAGCTGTACAACTACAACCTACAGTGGCTCACCATTTTTACACCCACAAAAGACACCAAAAGACAGATAAGGCTGTTGGAGGTGTGAGTTAAGGCTGTGCGATTATGGCAAAAATCATAATCACGATTATTTGGGTCAATAATTGATATCACGATTATTAAATACGATTATTCATTGACTTAGAAAAAATATTGAACTTTAAAACAAATACAAATAATAATTTGAACAGTATCTTTTTAACTGTTGATTACCCTGAACGTATAATTCAACTGAAAAACCAATACAAAAATAAATAAAATAAATGATACATTTAAATAAATAATATCAAAATAATAAATACCAATAAACAAGATCAACAAATATTTTGGAGCGCACTTCCCCAAGCTAC